ATGACCATTTTTGTTTTTGGGTGAACTGTTCACTTACTGCTCATTTTAGGTGGAAGAATATACATATAATGATACAGCATTATATCCTTAAGATTCCAGCTATACCTGTATTCACCCTATATTTGGGAAAGTAGATTGAGAAGTTCCACATAAACCTCACAAAGGAGTTGTGCATGTACCTCATCCAGTTTAACATTGGGCTGAAGTTTTAGCATCTGATTCATCCTTGACAAGCCGGAGAACCCAGCTGAGAAACTCTCTTCAATTGGCCAAAGTTGAAACCTGTGGGATTTTCTGAGAGTGCGTGCAGAGGAAGAGGAAGAATGTAGGTGTCTTCGCCACTATTTAGCATGCAAACCTCCTCACCCACCCCTTATAGTCCAATTTCCTGTGAATAAACCTGCTGTGAGATACAAACAAATAGATAAATAATGAAAAGCTCAAAGAACCAGTGGGCCAAAGAAGTCACGATTCATAGTCAGTCAAAGAGAGTAAAAATATCCCTCTGGTTTATATTTCTCCCTTCCTCCTGTGTGAGGGATATTTTTAGCAACTCAAGGCGTGTTTCACTGAGGCGGCAGACCCACTCGTCTGTGGCTGAGTGCACGTGAGGCTGCGGCACATGTAGGGATGAGGAAGAGAAAGGGAGGGGAGGTGGATCAAGTGCGCATCCAGATCTGAATCACCAGCTATTGCATCGCTTGGCTTTAAACAACTCCAAATGCTTTTGCAAGTTATACTCACATCAGTCATTCACAAGAAAACAGCAGAAACGTGGTCGCATAAACAACACTGATACAACAGTGGTAGGTCAACTAATAGTCCATGTAAGTTAATTTTCCTTGACCTATTGACATAAGAGAGGTTGACTCATTTTGGAATATGTCACACTATGACGTCATAGTGTGACGAAAGACCGCCTCTGCAGAAGATGATCACTGCCTACTTCTACATCACTGACTTTTTAGCAGTGGAAAAACACAGTCTTTGCATTGCCTTCCTTCTGATACTAACATTAGGAAAGAGAGGCTGAACATATTTTTAATAAAGTTCTAGATTGGGTCAGTTAGAACCTGGTCGTTTGTTCGGTTCATTTTACTGCAGATTCATTTTTAAACAATTCGACATAAGATTTTAAGAGACTGAAACTTAAAAAACAATGCTGTTCCAACTATGGATCCGACAGTAATGTTGCAACACATAAATGTGAGTAACAGTGTTTTTATCCTGCGTCACTATTGCTTTGTCTGTTACAGATAGTTTGATATGTATTGATTATTTATACGTTTTTAAATCACAGCAGCGTCCATCTATAAACAGACATGCAGAATTTTACATTGTTTACATGAGTGTTTAAACAAAACTGCGTATTTTATCCTGTCAACTATAACTGTAGTAACTCCAAGTATCTAAAATGTATTTGCCACAACCACTGAAATGTAATAAATAATGCGAAATTTGTGTAAATTGCATAACATAAACAGCTTTCAGCATCTTCAGTTAAACACTACTATAATATAATGACAACCTCACTGCCTAATAACTACAGTACTTCACAAATTTAAACAAAATACAAATACAGAATAAATATAAATGAAGATGATTAATGTCCTTGGCATCTGAGGTGCAGGTTCGTAGTTTTCTGATTCGGGAACAGACACTGGCTCAAATTTATTAATTCACCGGCTGCCATTTCTCAACATCAGAAGTTTTCAAAACAATTCCACACGTGTAATGAGGGGGGCGTTGAAACTTGAATATGTCAAAACTGTTAGCCAATCATAGCAGAGGCATTTACTTCCAAGTCTAGAGCATGCCACGCCCACCCAAACGGAGCGTTCAGATGAGGGGGTGTAAAACAGGACAAAAAAAATAGTCTATTATTTTTCTAAATTGTTTTTTTTTTATTATTGTGTTAAAGGGGTCATATGATGCGATTTACATTTTTCCTTTCTCTT